ATTTTGTCGCGCCGCGCCACTCGCGTCTGGTGTAGACACGGTGTAACATTGGTTTTGCTTTTGCTTTTGACAGAACTAATCGTTGCCTGGGTTGCGTACGTATGTGTGGGGCGGAGCTATCAAAATAGGGGCGAGACCCTTTTGGGGTAGGGGCGTGTTTGTTTTGGTGATTTCAAATGTCAACATTGGCTACCAGAAATCGCTTACCACACCTTTAACTTGGTGTTTGGCAGCAGAAATCCTGGTGAAAAGACAACATTACCCATGTTTCTGCAAAGAAATCGCCTCCAATCAGAGAATCATGACATACCACAATAAAAAAAAAATAATAATAATGGGAAAAATACTTCTGGAACCGGGAAGACGCTGTTGTATTCTACAGCTTTCTACATACTTTCACAGAAAATAGCTTCTGCGTTAAAACATAAGGTAGATAGTCTCCTGAAAACAAAACAAAACAAAAAAAAAACGTAATTTCACTTACACAGAATGATTCAAGATGTGAAGCCATCATTCCCCTCCTGGAATATTGAGATAACATTTCAAACACAAGCAAGTCATTGTGTTAACATCAAACTTTAGCAATCCTTTATTGAGGAGAACAGATCATATTCACTGTTTGCTACTGAAACATCACAACATCATACTGGGGATGTTCATTACATGGGCTCGTCAGGTGGTTAGAGAGAATCAGAGAGAAAGAGAGCAAGGACGTGAGAGCAAGAGCATTCGATCACACTCTCCAAAACACACGGGACAGTAGTTTCCCCCTCCGGCAAAACCCTCTCTTCTTAAGCCAACAGATTTGGAATAAATAAAATACTCTCTCAATTATTCTATGCATCAATAATTGTTGATATACACAACGCAAATGAATGTCCTTGAGCACTCACCGCACAAAATATATCTCTTACCATCTCGAATGGATACGGACTCAATCTATTCATCTTAAAATGAAGCTTTCCAGCATATGGCTGCAAGTTATGTGTACCAGAAGAGGGGAAAACTGCAAAAATATATATACATACATAATCATCTCATAAAATTCAATTAAACACTCATTTTAAAGCTACACACCAGAGCAGGTGAAGTCGATGAATAAACAACCAAAAACAAAAAAGGGAGGAAGAACAAGGCCTCCAGAGCATGTCTGTGTCCGATGATTGCACAGTGCAGAAAAAAACTCACATGTGAAGTAAATAGAGTAAGAATGTGAATGTATACAATGAAGCTAATCAAACAATAAATGCACATATGAAAATGTTACGCATGAGAATGTACAAATGGGTGTGTGAAGGTATATGTATTGTGTATCAGTGTGAATAAGGGGTACATTCATTCAGAGCCAACTATCCTGTAAGTACACCCTTATAGCATGGTTCACCTTTTACAGTCACGGTTCAAAAACAATCCTACATTAAGGATTACTTAAAAAAAATCAGAACCACTCATAATGAATATTCAAGTACCTATCAGTCAGTCTGAGGAGAGAGCGTCCCCTCCCACTCTTTCACTCCGCTGTTAAAGGAGAAAAAAAAAATATAGCTATATACACATACATATTTCTGCAGTTTCACTTTAGAAATACTCTACCTTCTCATAGTTTCTCTTTCATATAGTTTTTTTTCAGTATTTTTTGTTTTCGTAATCAAATGTGAGTGCAATCAAACAATACCAATTACGCCATATAATCTGCAATAAAAACAATTTTTTAAATGATGAGTCAAAATGATAGAGGGGGAAACCTATTTGAAATTTGACTATTTTGTTAGAGAAAACCACAAACCAGAAGGCAAGCTGGTGGGAATAAATCAGTAGGGAGAGCAGGGGATGAAGTGTGCTGCGAAAAAGAGGAGGAGTTCAGTTCTTATGTACTGTCTCTGAGGCGACTGTAAGGAAGTCACCGTGACAAGCTCCTCCAAATAAAGTTCTCTCCATTCAGAGAGTAATCTCCTGCTGTCAAGATTGAGTCTCAAGAGTGTCCTAGGCTTTTTTTTTTTTTTTCATGTTTAACAGCAAGCACCAAAATGAATGACACTAGAAGAAAGTTGCCTCTGCCCCAAAAGAGAAAAAGAAAAATCCACAACAGATACATTACATTTCTGTGGCTGCTGTCCAGCTGCTGGGATAGAGCCTGTAAGAGTCGCAGGGTTAAAGAGGGTGGCAGAAACGGTGAACAAGAACTGAGATCATGCCTCCAAAAAGCTGCACATGCGTGGTTGTGAAGGGGTTCAAAGAGAGCCGTATCTGAACAAGGGTCCCTGTCCCTCTCAGAGCTCACTGGCCCCACCCTCCTCCAGCTGAGTTCAGAGTACACGCCTCCAAATTAACATCCAGCAACTTCTGCTCGAACAGTCCCATCACTGCTCATAATCGACAGATTTCAGGAGGGAGGGGGGTGGGGGGGAGTAAAAATAAATTTCTCTACCGTACAATGCAGTTCTAAAAAAAAAAAAAACCCATAAGATTTCTGTAGTTTTCTCATCTTAAAAAAAACAAGCATATGTATTCCCAGACTCGTTGTTTGACATTTCCTATGACGCTCTCCGAATTAAAACCAAAAAAAGTGTGAGCAAGGGTTTTCTTGTGTGATTTGAGGACATACTCGTGTGGATTCAGAAGCCGTTGAGTGCTCGGGCTACCATGGGTCATCCAGGTCACCTCCACTCTGCGACAGGGAGAAAACAAGAAAGGGAAAGAAATGAGCAACCAGAGAAAAATTAAAAGGGTAAAACACTCACTAGTAAGAACTGGGGATGTAAAAGAAATAATGAAACCTGTGAGGGTGTGAAAGACAAGAAAAGGAGAGAAAGGAAGATTTCCTAATTGTTGAATTCCATGTAACAGAAAATGAAGTCTGGTTTTACATAGTTCTGATTAAAAAAATTAAGTTCGGGGTCAGTAAGATTATTATTATTATTATTATATATATTTTTTATATACTTTTATCCAGCAAGGATGCAATACTTCACAATATTGTATTTTTGATCAAATAAACGCAATCTTGGTGAGCATAAGAAACTCATGCTCATCAATGTTTTTCAAAAACATCATATACAGACCCCAAACTTTTAAACAGTAGTGTAGGTGCCTCCGAACCTACAGGTGACTCCAAAGTAGACAGTGGGCCAAAAAACTACCCAATAACATTAAAACAGCATACAAACAAAATAGTAGTGGTTACATGAATCTGTGTACCAAAAAAAGGTCAATAAACATAATACACAAAAATAAATAAAAAAATGGGTGGGAAAAAACCTGCAAGGACTGGCCAACATGCTTTTTCTGATATTAGTTGCATTTCCATATGAGAAGAAAACTAATTTCCCCCAGTATAAAACCGACTTTTAAATGATTAAGGCACATTTGAAGCTCACTTACCTCAAGCCTCAAACTTCCACTAACAAGCTCATGAGTAAGAACATAAGCCATGTCTGATTGTGAAGGACAGTTAGGAGTGAACAAGTTCTTACAAGAGCTATAAAAAGCACTCATGAAACTATCAGCATTCTATGTGGTGTCATCTCAAATTTAATAATGAATTGGAGCAAAGACAGGTATTAATAGTTGAATTTGATTTATTTTGAATTTCAGCATGAAACAAAATGTATACAAAACTTTGCCCAAAAAAAAAAAAAAAAAATCTGAACCCAAAGCAGCAAATACTGCTCTATGGACAATTAAGCTCTGATTCTGCTGAGCCTGTATTTTAGTAACATTAGTTTAATATGACAATGGCAGCATTATGCATGCACTTACGTTAACTGTTAAGAGGATTATACAGTTTGTGTTATGCATTAACTTCCAAATAAACAAAGTAATCAGCTTCAAATGGCTTGATAAAATCAGCCAAAAAAAAATCACAAAACAAAAGCAGTTTGGAACATCAGATATTTTGCGATATGACAATCCACATGGACAGAATTCAGCTTGCTTTCCACAAACTCGGGTCATAAGAACAAGAAAAGTGTGATAAGAAGCCCTGTGCAAATACTGCAGTGTACAGACATCCAGGAATGACCATGTAGCAGCGTTGCCTAATTTATAGATTGCATTAAGTCCTTCAAAAGGTAAATCAGTATGTATTGTCCCCTTTTAATGAATGACTTTGACGGTCATTGACTGACTGGATCAGCACAACAGACGAAAGGAGATTTTTGCAAGAACAAATGATTGTGTAAGCTTCTGTAATCTCATACAGTCCATGCTTATAAAGCCAGTGCATTTCCATTTTGTGCTTCTTCCTCAAGGACACACCTGTATAGTAGTTAACTGTGACCACTCAAAGAGCAGACACAGGACAAACAATTTGAGGTCAGCTCAAATTCTAAACCGATATGAAAGAGATATGGAGAGAGAGGAAGATATACACATACACAGCATAAGAGTTCCCTTTTAAATGGTGAAAGAATTGCTTTTGATCAGTTATTCATCTCGCATTTCAAGCATTTGATTCACACACACAAGCACACTACACAGAGCATACCAGAAGTTGTACCTGATGTTTACTACAGTACGTTAATATCCTATAACTATGATCAGCCACGAGACAAACCTGGATACGTAGTACACATGCATCGCATGGCACGAGAGCAAACAGTTGTGTATTCTTGGCACGGCCCAGATTGTCCACTTAAACCATTGCTATTTCAAAAGTTTAACTACTTATATGGGTAAATTCTTTGGGTGTGAAATGGTGATCATCAAATCATTCAGGGGTGTGTGACAGTATTCAAATCTCCTTAAAGGGACAGTTCACCAAAAATGAATTATTTACCTTCATGTCATTCCAAACCTGTGACTTACTTTTGCAGAACACGAAAAAGATATTTTGAACAATGTTTCTTGTCTATGCAATTGATTGTACAAAGACTTCGTATGAAAAAAAAAAAAACTACAAACCTAAAAAAACACAAAACAAAGTGAAAAAAAAAATAATAATTTAAGTCTGGAATGACATGAAGGTGAAAAGATGACAGAATTTCAACATCTAGGTGAACTATCCTTTTAATAATTTATTAGATAACACCTCCATGTCTCATTTTAAAAACACTAGGCTAAGTGCAGATATGAGAAAGTGCTTACTGCAGACAGAGCTGGGATATGCCAAGGTTAACCTCAGTTGCAGAGCAGGTTTTTAGTGATAAGAATTCTGCACAAAACTTCCTCTGTATGCTACTTTTACTTTTTGCAGAGCTCCCAAACACAAAACAAACACCCAAAGTGCTATTACAAATCCATAAAGACAACCAAAAACCTGCACTGGAAGTGCTCTAAGGAGGAAGAATGCCCAAAGCAACCTAGCAATCTGGGCCAGAGAGCAGGTCTGGGGAAAGGGTTTTTTTTGATAGCAAGGCTGGGTTTAGTGGGTACTAAATAGGGTCATGCAGTGGGGGCGCCAGAGAGCTTGTCCAGAGACTGTGATGTAGCGGCTTCGTCCTGTCCCTCCTCAGAGCCAAGGGGTTCAGTGGCTGGGGATGGTGGAGGCGAGGGAGGTTCCTCCATGGGGTCGGTCCGTGTCACGGCGCCTGTCCCGTAGGACAGCCGGTAAGTGGAGAGCGCCTGCTCCAGCACTTGGCGGTATTCGCCTCGGTGACTAAGCCGGAACTGTCGTAGCGCCTCCAGCAGGTGGGCGGCGGCTGCGGAGCTGCCCTCTTCTTCCTCCTCACCGCCGGCTGCTCCTCCCTGGCTGTCCTGGTGCAAGACGCCAGTGTCAGTGGACAGAGCAGGTTAAGAGACCCCGCTTAGAGTGGACCACCTGCCCATGACCTTACACTGCCTTTTTATTTAGAAAGCAGCACGCTTGAGGAGCGATAAAATAAGCTGTAAGTGGTGGCGATTGTGTGTTCGTGTGTGTTTGTGCGCGAGGGTACAAAAGATGCAGGTGCTTGTCAACACACGACTCTTCTCACAAGTCTTAGAGCAATAAACTCACTATGCATTACCAAGATGCAGACATACGAATACAAACTGTCAGAGTGGCACAAGCACAGACGGACAAACAAAACCAAGGCCGGCACATAAAGCCTTGCATTTACATCTTAAATGCAGAGGCACTGCTTTTAAAGATAGTGGTGTTTGGATGTTTAATCTGCCCTATATATAAAGCCATCTCTAAGTACCAGATATGCTTCCCTAAGTAGGACATTTGGTAATCACTTGCTAAATGGATCACTCTCTCAAATGATCGGGGGAGTAAATGTATGCATGAAAGCGTCACCTAGACCTACATAAAGTCAAAATATTTGCAGGTGTGATGCATTAAAAGTATTGTAAGATGATGAGTAAATGGATGGACTCAAGTCTAAGCAAGAAGACTCAAGTGACCTTTTGTTCTGTTCTTATGAGATCACAACAGTAAGGAGACACTCACCCCATCTTCTTCTCTGTGTGGGTTTAGCCTGTTGTAAACGGCCTCAATTACACTACGTCTAGAAGAGAAGAGAAGAGAAGAGAAGAGAAGAGAAGAGAAGAGAAGAGAAGAGAAACAGATTAGACAGAACTCTAAAAACCCTACTGAAGATACTAGTGAGAAAAGTTTATCTGGTCCACAGCAAAGCCTCAGATGTTTAAAATTGAGCAAAAATCACTATTTTACACATTATAAAGGAGGATAATAAAAAAAATAAAGCACTGCAATATTATTTGCTCTCGATTTCTATATTTCCAGCTGTATTGAAATTCTTGCACCAAGAATCAATATATTTTATGTTAATTTTTGCATAAATATTTATATAATTTAATATATCACTTTATCCACACATTATATAGCAGGGGTAATAAAAAAGTACTGCTATATTTTACCTCTTGAATCCTATCATTTATTTTTTCCACCTGTACTGTATATTCTCACACCAGGGATCAATATTTTCAGTTAATTTTCACATTAATATTTATATAATTTAATATTATATAATTATATAACAACAACATTATAAAAAATATACAGTTTTCACATTTAAATAATATACAATTCTGGATGATACCAATAAGGCAGTAATTATTTTCATGCTATGGCCAATAATTGAGATGGTTGGAATTAAAACTCTACACAACTCTACACTATTGTGTCTAAATGAATGAGAAATAAAATGAAGTGCTATGCTACCTGTGAATTTAGGCATCACAACATTACAATACAACACGTCTAACAGTGCACAATATGAAAAATGGATTTCATTTTGAGCTTTGATTCAAGATTACATTATTTTAAAGACTGAAGTGCTAATCTGAATAAAAAAAAATGTTATTCATTCATTTATGTTTTAACGCCATATCAGCAACAATGTCTATATTCATGGCAACATTAACAATATCATTTCAATACATCATTTACAATAATATAACATTTTCTTAAACAATCATTATACAAAAACATACAAGAAACAACAACAGTACTGATAAAAATCATATACAATCTTTGTTTAATCAGTGATAAAAATTCTAAACTTCTTCCAGGAGAGACTTTAAGTATATACTTTTAGTATATTTTCTGAATAATATCATTGTCTAATATCATTTAAAATTTTATTAAAATGTGTTTTACACTCAAAAAATTCTTACACAAGTCACAGACTGGTTTCTCTTCTCCTTTCAATAAATATGAATGAGTCTTGAATGTCCAATTTGACATCTTGTATATACAACCTGGTCATATCTATTTTCAAAACAGTAATTACTTATTTCATTTACTACTGGATTCACCTCATATAGTTTGTTGTTCTATGCTTTCATTCCATTCACCATTTATTATTAATGTACAGATTCAATATAGGTTTTACATCAGATAATGGAATATTACATTATGTTATTTCCAACTGAAGAGCTTCCTTGGCCACTTTACCTGCTTTTTCATAGCCAACCAATCCCATATTGCCAGGTATCCAACAAAAAATAATGCTGAAATCTTGTTTCTTTAAAAAGTCAACTTTTTCTATTATACTAATAATTGTAGGGTGTTCAGTTTTCAAAGACTCAAGTGCTTGTAGGCAGGACATAGAATCTGTGCAAATTAAGAAATGACATTGCTGTTCTGAATAAAAAAATAGTGAAAATTAGCATGCACAACTAAATATCTAATATTAATCAACATATGATCAATATTAACAAATATTTATAAAGGAAAAAAGATCTTGGACCAATATCACACACCCCTTAAGATCAATGCACAATATTATTTCTATTCAAAGAAAAATTTAGCAAAAATTATTATAGTTTTAAATAATTCAACACTAAAAGAATCACTTATTTTTTATCATGACCCAGATATCAATACAATATTGCACCGCCATGTGCCTGCGGTTTACCACCCCTAATTCAATAGTAGGGCAATTACAAAATTTGCTCTGATCAGCATAGATGTGATATGAAGGACCACATGGACAAATGTAGCAATTTTGGATCCTTACTTGCTAGCGAGACCACCTCCTGGAGGCAGGTTGGGGATGCTCTCAGGGCGAAGGTTGTGTATGACATGGCTTAGATCTGGGATGCCTTCCTCCCCTGACTTCTCCATGATTTCTGCAGAGAGAGACAATTACATTACACATCTGGGGCAACAAACCGCTAATGGAATCCTGAAGCGTTTTCTCCACCATGACTGTTGCCGTGAAACCTTAGAATGATGTAGGCGCAGGATCAACCATCCCACTTATAGAGACAGTGTGAGAAAAATAACATCCAGAGAGAGAAAGAATGCCAAACAGGTTTCATCACAGCTGTCCTAACTACATGTCAAATGGAAAAACACTAGAATTGTTTTCAGAATTAATATATTTCCTATCCAGGAAAGATCCTACGAGCCTCCAGATAGTTTGGAACATGCCAGAATGTTGAAAGAGAAGAACCAGAGGGAGATGAGCACAGAGAACAATTTCAAACCCCATGGCTGAAGCTAAGGTCTGGTATTAGGACTTTTTGAATAACAAGATGGCCATTTCCTCCACACTGGATATACAATGCAGAAAACTGGCTGACAAATGAACAAGTGCTGCCTCTTACCTTCCACATGAGCCTCCAGGAACTTGTCCAACTCGGCCTCTCTCTTAACAGCCTCCTCTGATACCTTCGGAGCATTGGGGAAACATACTAGAACAACACTCATGTTGTCACGAAGAGAGGGGTGCAAAAAAAAAAAAAAAAAAAAAAGGCAGTTCACTGTACAAAAATCCAACCTGTCAAGCAAGTGTTTATAACACCACAAACTTCTATTGTAAACCACTATAAATCTAGACCAGCTCCAATTTTGCCAATATTTACCTCGGATGGAAATTTGTGACATCTATTCCTAGTTAGACACTAAGCAGACCTTCATAGAGAAAAATCTTCCAAGTGAAATGGCGGGGGGGTGGGGTTAGTTTCCAATGTATATATGAACCATACATCATAAAAAAAAAAGCACGGAGAAGGTTACAGACTAATAATGGAAAGCCCTGATATCAACTTGACCAAATCCATGCCAGATACAAGAGCTGTGACATCACTCATGAGGTCCCTGGCTCTGTCTGAGCATCTGGAGAGCTTGTGTCTACACAGGCAGAGGGCTTGTGTGTGTTTTTTGGAGGGTATTGGAGGGTTTGGATTGTTGAATGCCATGAGGCCATCAATGAAACACTTAAATGCAGCGTGGAAAAGATGAGTGGGGATTGTTTTCATAGAAACAAAGCAGGTCTGTCTAATGAGACTAGCAGGACTGTAACAATTATGTAAAGACTCAATGATTCAGCTTTATAAGGCTGTGCAACTAATGTAAAACAGATTAAATAGACTTAGGTGGAACCCATTGGGCAAAAAAACAAGATTTAAAAGAAAAGTTGACCCAAAAATGTCACTATTTACTCAGTTTGAGTTTTAATGCACACAGCAAACACTGCACAAGACATCAAGTCTAATTTAAAAACATATGACCTTGTCGAATAGTTTCTTTTTAATGAGTCTGTTTCTAAAATGATCAATATTAGAAAAACTAATTATGAAACTTACATTTCATTGTTATTGTAATTTGAATCAAAATTAATTATGTTGTTCTAGAAATATTCTTCTTCATATTTTGCATCACAAATTTAATCAAGATCACTAGAGTGACAGAAGCGCTTCTTCGCCAAATGATCTTGCAGTCATTTGGCTCCTAAATGTTTAAGGTGAATAAACTGAACTATCCTTTAAAGACTTCTGCTGTGATCTCCTCACCTTATGTAAACAGGTGTCCACCACAGAGTTGCAAACCTTCTCCAAGTCATCCCACACCTCTAGCCGAGAGCGCACGAAATCACACAGCTCCTCGTTGCTCATCACATCCCAGATGCCATCGCAAGCGAGCACCACAAACTCATCCTCGTCTGAAATGCGTGGGATTTCAAACACCTCCGGTTCCGGAGATACCAGCTGCTCAGTGGGGCCCTTCCCATCCACACACTTGTAGTCATAGTCCCCCAGGGCACGTGACACAGCAAGAGAACCATTCACCCTTTGGATCATCACAGAACCTCCTGCGTTTTGAATGCGCTCTTTTTCACGTGGGTTGCACGGCTTGTGGTCTTGTGTGGAGAACCGTACCTGTGCGGCACGGCTGAGAACAGCACGGGAGTCTCCACAGTTGATGAAATAGAGGTGTTCAGGGGACACCAGCACACCGACTGCCGTGGAACCGCTACGGTCCATGCCGTTACGTAGGTCCGAGAAGTTGCGCATGTACTCGTCGATCTTCAGGAAGCCAGAACGAATGCCGGTTTTAACGCCCTCCACGGAGTCGGGCCCCGAACGGAAGTTCTCGCTGCTGGTTATGATGTGCTCCAGCAGGTGTTTGGAGCAATAGTTGGCTACGCGGGAGCCAGCGTGACCGTCATACACTGCGAAAAAGGACCAGTCATCCAGGCCATGCGGTAGACCCACAACGGCCGTGTGCGCATCCTCCATCTCTACCCGCCAGCCCTGCATGCTGCTCAGGCCGAAGCACAGACCGTTGCCCACTCCGTGAGCATTATGTTTCTCTGTCTTCGGTTTGTCCAAGAAGGCCCCCATGGCTCAGGACACCGTCTGCAAGAAAAAGAGGGATGCAAAGTTGTTTTACATGACAAAACGCAATATGAGACACTTATGTACTCACCATTATGACATTCCAAATCCATAAGCCTTTGGTTAATCTTCAAAACACAAATGAAATGAAACCTGAGAGGTTTCTGTCCCACCATTGAAAGTCCTGGTGTTCAAAAATTTAGAAGATCCAAAAAAGTCATGGGGCGGCATAAAATGAAACCATAAGAATTAGGGCTGTCAAAAACCGTGACAACACTAGTCTTGAGACATGTTTTTTAAAAGTTGAACTTACATTAATTTTACATGGCTTTCTAAACCTGCCGCTCTCCTGTGCGAGACGCGAGTGCAACGCTGATAGATGCCCCGCTAGAAAATGTGATAAATATGCGTTCTGTGTGAACGGCTTGGTTTCAGTTTTGCCGCAAACAACATCTTCGCCACACTGATGCTCTCGTTTTCCGCAATATATTGAATGGACAACGTAGCAGCGCCTCTAGTGGGTTCAACTGGATAGGCTAACAAAAGCATTAAAATGCAATGACACTTACATTGTTGTCGCATTTCGCGCGCCACTGATAAGGCTGCCTGACAGCTGACGCAGCCCTAAAATTCGAATGCGAATGTGGATTTTTTTTTTTTAATTCGATGAATATTCGAAATTCTAATTTTTTTTTTGACAGCGCTAATAAGAATTGAGCTGTTTAATCCAAGATCGTATCTCTTCACAGAACTTATGACATCTTTATAACCTTTTTGGATCTTTTAAGTTTTGGCTACCTAGTTTGGAACAACACAAAGGTAAGTGTTTTTTTTTTTGTTGAATAAACCCTATAACAAAAGAATGTTTTTATAACTGAATGTGTAACTGACCATTTAAATCAACAAACACTGGTTGGCCTTTCAGGACATTATCCAAAGAAACACTTCAGCACACCAGCAAAGCACTGACAACAATGTTCTTTAGCATTACACAAAGTCATCAATCCTCTTTTGTTCATAAAACTAGTGTGTGTATAAATGTATTATGAGAATTAATGCTGTGGAAGCGACAACCGCCTACTGAGTTACTGACAGATCTTGATGTGATCTAAAGGCTACTGTAACAGCATAAATGAACTTTTCCATGACATTCTAATTTATTGACATGCACCTGTAGAAGATAATTACAGACAAACTGTCAAACGCTCTCAATATTTCAGACAAGCCTTAGCAATTACGTTCATCAAGATTGATTATATACAATGAACACAAGTGCATTAGAAGACTACATCAGTCATAAATTACAGAGTAGGCAGCATTGAAAAAAAAACGTGTACACTGGAAAACATTTAGGATGCTAAATGATAAATTCACTTGTGAACTTGACCTATAAAATCATAACCCATAATACAAGGCACTAAGGAATAGGGATGGGTCACGATTTTCGAATATTCAATTAGTTGATTTAATTATAGAATATCGAATAGGTTGTGCGATTATTGTCTTAAAAAATTCCCCATGTTTTCCGCGCTGATGACGCATTCATGTAACAACACACCTAAAAGCTGTCAAAGACAACAGAAGAACACAATGTCTCGCACGCACACTGTAGACTTGCGCGGCATAAAAAAAGACTTAGAGATGCGTTAAGAGGTGTGGCTGAATCTGTATTCAGAAAGGCGCGGAAAACAAATAACGCGTTTTACGGAGCCACTAAAGGGACATGTTTAGCTGCTTGCTAGCGGTAGCCTATTACAGTACATAACATTTCACTTACCACATAAACAGAGTAAGGAGAGATGACTGATAGAATGATGGCGAATGTATTGCAGATCCTGAGCACCACTGACAAACATCTAATCTTGTAAAATGTGTGGTAAGTACTGCCGAGTGCTGCTCCGTATGTGTGATCGCGAATCTCGAAAGTGAAAGTAAAAAACAAGCGCACGTTCATAAACGATTTCAATGCCCCGTATATTAATAACGGCTCCCTGACGCCCACAGTTTATATACAGTATAATTACCCAACGATATAATTGCGAAAGAAGATATTGAAGTATATTTTTCCTCCCATCTCGTATCTATTCCCTTTGGGGTTCCATTTTTTATAATGGAAATGTCCTAGCCTTACGAGCAGTTGATTTATGCTAATCGACAGACTGTTATGTTAATAAGTGCCGTCATTCGGTTATGCTTATTATATTAATATGTTTCAGCACATTACAATCATTATGGCTTGAGTTAAGGTAGCCTATCTTCTGAATTAAACAGTTTATCATACAGATTGAAAGCTTGAATCCCGTCTCTCCCGGTTTATGGGTGTTTGTGCGTGTATGCGGGGGAGGGGTGCGATTTTCGAATATTATTTTTGCTTGGAATGCCCATCCCTACTAAGGAAGTACTATTTGCCATGCAATGCAAAATTTGTGTATGTGCAGCAGGTGTGTGTCCAAATGCAGAATAGTGATAGATGGAATTATGTATGGGAAACACTGGACACTGCTATAAGTCAAATGGCCATAATCTAAGTGATAACAAAAATAAATAAATAAAAAATTACTCATATTAGCGGTGAAATGTCGTTCGATTATGTCAAACGTCATACGCTCCCTGGATGTCATGACAACAAATGTCACGAAGGAAAAGTTTTAATATCTCGCCTTCGCTTTCATTTCGGACCATCTCCAAAAAGACATTAAAAAACTAAACATATGATTTACAAGTTTAACATGTGTTTATCAAAGTAGGAAATAATTAGTGTTCTTGAAATATTAAATGGAGTCGGGTCCGGACTGAATTCCCTCCGGGTCCGGATCGGAGTCCGGACTTTGAGAAGCACTGTCCAAGATGAACAGAAAGTTCAAAAGATGAGCATTTATATGAACAAATGCTGTTACAAAATATTGGTCAAGTTTTATTCTCAAACAATGAGTTGTGAGCATGACTGTAGGATTTTAGTGAAGGGGTAGCTCAGAGATACAGCATGAATGAAAGCTTCCTGTCAAAAGCTGGATCTAGCTCCTCACAGCATTATAGGAGGAGCAGTACCTAAAAGAAAGCGTAAGGAATAAAGATGTCAAAAAAGGCTTCTGGACAAATAAGCTACATAGACCGATGGGGTGTGTCCGGACGATAACTCAAGCTACTGCATCACCTTTCATCTCGAGTATCATCTCTTACATGAACCACTCTTGAAAAGAAAAACACAAACTGGTTTTGGCTATCTTTACCTCATCCTCAGGAAAAGCACACACACACAGACATCAAACACACGATTGTACCGTACAACCACTGAATGCACGCAAAACACTCCTCAAAAGGAGCTTAGCAGAACTTACAAGGCCAGAGGAAAAATGTATTATGATCACTACTAAGACAGAAGGCAAAATGTATTTTTCATGAGTCTGATTCCCCATCTGAATGCAGGATTAGAAAGTGTGGAGCAGCTTTAAGCTGCTTTGGGTAAACCTCACCCATAAGACCATTACATGACTCCAGGAATAGCCACTGAAATGTATTACAAGCCCAAGCAAGCCATTAGACAAATGGAATGGAAGCCGCCTCGTAAGCTATGCGATCACCGCCTGGGACCTTGACCTAGCAAAGCCCAAAAAAGCCAGTAGGCTACTAACCAGCAGTAAGTCAAGGTTTGCCAAGCGATATTACAAGCAGGGTCATGGGATAGGTCAAATTAGAGTTTCTCTCATTCTCTTAACGTGTCCCTCTTTGCAGGTCTGTTTATCCGTTGTGAGAATGAAAACTGGCAGCGGTCAGCAGGGCCGAGATCCAATGAAAGTTCCAGCATTCAGAGGATCATGGGCTCGTCCAAACCAGAGCATGTGGCCCATCGGGGACTAGAGTTACCCAGAAGGGTGGTGCTCACAGCCAGCTTTTGTGCTCTCTACTCCACACACACGACAGGCATGGAAGGCATGTGACCAAAAAAGGTGGTTGGGAGCTGAAGAGTGTGTTAGTGTGTGTGGTTGGATGAGGGCACAGGTTGTTGTGCAGTGTCATGGCTCGGCTGGCCAGTCTTCCCCCTCTGAGCATGGCTCTATTTATATCCCTTCAAACCCAGATTGGGTTACTTGCTGTTGAAAGTAGGCAGGGGCGAAGTGCTGCATCCTTATGGCTGTCATTCATACGGGGCTTCTTCCCAACATTCACACTCAGATGTCCTTGTCAGATCCTCTTCTTTCCGAAGACTTGAGGCTAGGATGATCTCTGTCAGGAGTAAATGGGCTGATCCATCATGCAGCGCTCACTTTGATCAAACCCTGCCATTAGCATGGCAGATACGCTCGAGAGGAAGCTTTGTTAATGCTTGGGCTTCAAAACAAGCGCACAAAACCAGGTGCAGTAAATGCACGAGTGTATCAGATCAAACACTAATAAACAGGCACAACAGCAGGAAATGAGGGGGGTTTGTAAAGGTGGCTTGATGTGGACCTGAAGAAGACAGGGTTGAAACCGGACAGCAGAGTTTAACTTTATCCCCTCACCACAAACTAAGAGGCAAGATTAAACGATTTTTAATGAAAGAAATTATTTTCAATTGAAATGTAGTTCAATGCAAATGTTATATATAGACACTGATGCACTAATCCTGGCTGGAAGCGCTATGGATTATTCAAACTTTATATTTAGGATTTATTTATATCCGTTTCCCAATACAGGGCACTTTGAATTATTTATTTTTTTTTTAGAATCGTTAACCTGTACACATATGGCTTGAGCAAGTTCTGACATTAAAAACTTTACACAAAATCCATGAAGCAAACATCTCCAGATGATAGAAACCCAGAGGCTGAATAAAGCTTAGAAAACAGCACGTGTACATTTTACATTATAGATGAGTCCACACCACCACATTGAAATAATTATATTTGACTTGAGTTTAATAAAAAAAAAAGTTGTCTACTGCAAAATAAGAGCAAGAAAACATATTTTCTTTCTTGGGCTGGGTGCAAAAAGCCAACAAATGCATAGCACGACTACAGTAATCCAATTCACAAAAACAAATGACTCTTATGAACCAGTTCTTTTAATGAATGTTTCAAAAGTTAATGGTTTGAATCAGTCTGGTGAATCATTCACAGAATGAACTCAATGAATCAGTCAGAGTGGTTACTGAATCAACAAATGACTCACATACTAGTCTGCAAATTATCATTTTTAGTTATGTCTGCTTTAAAATAAAGCAAGCTGTGTATACTTAAAAGTCAGAATTGGGTAATCTGTGGTCTCAATTTGGTTCCAACAACTCGACAGAAAGATGTTTGTTGCATTTTTTTTTTTACTGTCTACTAAAGGTTCATAAAACTAAAATCTGTATAATTACTGGTTGTGTGTATGACAGAATTAAAGACACAATTTTCACATTAAATAAATAAATGTATACGCATTAAGAGAAACAGAATTATGTCGGAAACACTGTAGTACAAAATAAGGATCCATAGGGATAACTACTGCTATAGCAACTGGGTAAACCAAGAACTTAAAGAGAAGCATGTTCAAACAGGACACACATGATTTAATGCTGTTGCAATACATTGTGAAGGATTAAGGCTGATTTATCCTTCTGCATCGAGCCTACACCGTAGCTATGTCATCGGCTGTGTGTTGCATGCAAAGCCTGATGTGCAGCTCTCCAAAAATGTAACAACGCGTCAATTCTACGTGGACCACAAGCGCTGTGATTGGTCTGCTAGAACCCCTCTTTCAGGTAAAAAAAAAAAAAAAGCTGCAAAAGCATCAAATTTCCTTATACATTACTACTTGAGACAAAACTACAGTGTAGTGTTGGGCGATATGCACCATAGTCATAACGTCAACCTGTGAGATCGCTGATACACTATACTACCATGCTAATTTATTAAATTATTTGCTTATAGTTTCATAGCCAGAGATTTAATGAACTCCAGGGTACAGCTAAAGGCAGCTTAATGTAATCTATTAAAGGATTAGTTCACTTCCAGAATAAAAATTTCCTGATCATTTCAAACTCAAAAGGGCTCTACACGATCCCAGCCGAAGAATAGGGGGTCTTATCTAGTGAAATGATTTGTCATTTTCTAAAAAACTAAAAAATAATTTAACCACAAATGCACATCTTACACTAGCTCCACGATGTGCGTCTGCAAATTCACGCATTACGTAATCACGTTGGAAAAGTCATGCGTGGTTAGCTCTACGTCTGTGTACTCTGGTTCAAAAAGGTAGGGTAGGGCGAAAACTCCATTTCATTTTCTCCTCCAACTTCAAAAAAATGGCCCAACATCGTTGTTTTATCGTTTTTTTGTAAAGGGCCTGCGTCACGCGTGACCTTTCCAACATGACTACGTAACATTCCAACATGACATAACATTTTAATTTTTTTAAGAAAATGACATTGTTTCGCTAGATAAGCCCCTTATTCAAAAATAAATCTTGCGATTAAAATACGGTGGAAGAATTGACAATAAAGTAGACTTGACTTGACTTGACTTGACTTATTCCAGAAAATGATGGATTGTTTCACTAGATAAGACCCTTATTCCTCAGCTGGGATCGTGTAGAGCCCTTTGAAGTTGTACTGAATCTGCAATTTGGACCGTCAGCCCGTTGGCCACCATTGAAGTCCATTATATGGAGAAAAATCCTGGAATGTTTAACACAAAAACCTTAATTTCTTTGCAACTGAAGAAAGAAAGAAAGAAAGAAAGAAAGAAAGAAAAAGAAAGACTTGAACATTTTGGATGACATGGGGGTGAGTAAATTATCAGGAAATTTTTATTCTGGAAGTGAACTAATCCTTTAACTCACACTAAAGCCACACTATTTGAATACCGCTCCGGAGCAGTATTCGAGGCTTAGTGTATCCCATCATGCATAGGGGTGTAACGAATCCTTCGTTTTCTCGATGCATCGATTACAAACCCTGACGATGCATATGCATTGATCTTGAAACATGGATTTTTGAATCGTGAATTGTTGATTTCAGCCAGTAATTTTTTATCAAATTTAAAATAGTTTTACTTAGTAAAGAAGTTTTACTTTTTTGACATTGCCTGAGCAGTTGAAGGCTGCGCATTTGGATGGAGCAAAAACTATGTAAGTGTCTAAAAGCATACGCACAGTTCCATTTATTGATAAATTACTTCGTTAAATCGTATGCACGAAGGAAACTGTTAAAATAACCACAGCATTAACAGCATTAAGAGCGCAAGGTTTATCCGTCAATCAGTTCACAAGTTCGCACTAACGTATAATAGGATTGAGCAATTTAGTAAGCATATTTGGGGTGCTGTCCAGAGGGAGGGCTCCAAGCTTGGGAGAGAGCCCGAACCCCGAGAACTCCCCCTATCCCTAAAAATGGGATGAGAAATAGAATAAGAGTGAGGAGTTGGGGTGGAGGAGGGATGCTGGAAAACTGTCGTGGGACAGAGGTAAGTTGGCTGTATATATATGCGTATTGCTAGTTAAGGTGATTAACAAACAAGCTCCACCTGTGCCGAATTGATTGATTATCTGATCGTGCTCCTCCCGAACCTTGTTAATGAAACATTATTTCTGCTAACAGACCACAGGCAGTTCAGAAAGGTTTCTTGTGTTGGATTTGAAGAAATTGTTCCTTTGAGTAATTTTACTGGCTGTGGTTCAGTTTTACAAACCAAACCAAATTAATTTCAGTGTTTTGATCCATCAGGCCAGTGCTGCAGCAATGCATCAGTTCACTTCCATGATGTTTTCACTGCTAGTCATTACTGGACTGCAGGTGAGTGTTGAGTCCACAGGAACACGTTCTGAGCGAAGCATCGACAGACATTACAGATCAGAGCTGACTGTGCCGAATGGAGGGAGATGGGGGTCGTGGGGTCCGAGGGAAATGTGTCCAACTGGAATGTATGCTGTAGGATTCAGTCTAAAGGTAAGCTAAGAATTGACTTAATTACAGTAGTATGGGGTTTGTTTAATGCTTGAACGTGTAAGCTGGTGACTGAGGGTTGAAGGTTCAACTCTGGAGTTGTGTTTAGTGATTCAGTTCCAAGTGTTTCTAAGGAAACTGCACCTGCTCAAGTTTTTGACTGCTTTGCTTGATACTAAAGAAACCAAGTTGAATGTTACTATGGATTGGGTTAGTCCAAGGATTCCCAGCTCTGTTCCTGAAGGCACACCAACAAACATTTTTGAACAAACTTGATTCAACTAATCAGCTCTTTAGTAGAGACTCCAAGATCTAAAATGGATAGGGCAGATAAGGGAGGCATCCAAAATGTGTGATTGTTGGTGCACCTCCAGGAACACTGGAGGTTGGAGTTAAGATTACTCCTTTTCTCTTTCAAATTTGTCTAAGTGTTGTTGTTTTGTTTTGTTTTTAAGGTGGAAGATCATATTGGTTATGGGGATGATACTGCACTCAACGGGATTCGCCTTCACTGTGTTACAGTTTTTCTGAATTGCTAAAACACTAAACCCCAATCTCTGAACCAAATTCTCACTAGCTTAAACCAATTTGTCAAATAAAGCACTCTTTCTGCTAAGCCTTAAACACTTTCAGGCAGTTAGGCTCTATTTGCAAATCTCATGCACTCTTTTTGAAAAACTCTAAACACATTCTCATTCACTTAAACACTTATCACACTGTGATGCATTTGTGCTGCAAAATGCTAAACACAA